TATCTGCAATGCCAGAGGTGAGTTTCCTCTCTGGGACTTGATGCTGCACCATTGTTATTGTGAGTTTTGCCATTGACTTGAATGGGAGCAGGATCAAGCCCCTGAGGAACATCCAGTTTACCCAGCTTTTCCATTATTGTATGTCCCTCATCTAAATAAAGTAAAATGAACTGTTGCAGCTGCTGATCTGTGAGCACTGATGTGTCTGCTTTCTACCACCATCAGGTGGTAGCATATTTCATGTGATGGTGTCTTTTTTTCTTTTTTCGCAGCACACTGCTTAAATCGAATGCTTCACAATGAAAGGACTAACAGGCAAACAAACCCTCTGTGCCTAACAGTTACACAAGTTACAATGGTTTTGCATTACAGCACAGTACACTACTATTTGCTTTATATTCAGTATATGTTTATTCAAACTCTGCGCTCCTCTACTAAACCCAAGGAAAAGGAAATGTGCAACTTAAAACTAGCACTGAATATACAGATTTCCTTTTTATAACTTAAAACAAATTCCCTCATGGTCTTTCCATGATTTTACAGCTTTCTCTGGAAGGCTAGAGAAGGCTATTCTGATAGGGCAGAGTGTTATTAGTTGTTGTGAAATGCCAAAATAGTGGCAGATAGTATGTTGGCATTATATAGAAGAATATACAGTTTGTACGATAGGAACTTTACAAGCCAGACCTACTGTGACCTATTGTGAGGAGTCATGTTTGAGTTGATATCTGAAGTCAGTGGCATTACACATTGTATCCTGGTGCTTACTAGCATGAATGATCTAATTGAAGTCAGTTGTTGAAGTCCTAGTTCCAATAACATTTACTGGATTAAACTTAAAAATATGCACAGTTTCCCCCCCCAGAAGGCAAAGAGGAAGTTCAGCCCTAAAACGTAGTTTATTTAACCATTTTCTTTCCCATTCTCCCTTCTATAATATACTGGAGCAGAAAGTTAGCATCTAGGTACCATTAGCATGTATAGTCCATGTCAGACAAATAAATTGATAGATCTCTGCTTGCCATCTACAACTCAGAGCAAGGGGCCATAAACCAAGGGCATGGGGAGAGTATATATGAGTATAATGTAAGAGAGCAGGGGTTCTAACTTTTAAAGTGGTCAGTTCCTTCTTTGTAAAGTATATTTGAAGAGAATTAGATTTGTGGCAGTGGTGATGGATGGGGTGGAGAGATTGAAGGCTAATGAAAAGAAACATTTTAGAAGTAAGGAACAGGACAGCATACTGTACAGCACTGATGGGACAACTGAGGCTAGTGAGTGGGCCGCTTGAATGGCCCTACTTCATCTCAGTTGGCTGCAAGATTGTTAAAACCAAGACCATCTCCTGGTAGTTTTGATAACTGCACTTGCATGCCTAGAATTTGCCAGGTGTGCCAAATAAATTGTAGCAGCACTTTGCCTGTGACAGCCGTGTGCTTCCTCTGCAACCAATGTTGTGTGCAATCAACACGCACCTCATGTCACATATCTTTGTTTTGCGGGTGTATTACTTTCGTAATACCTGCTGGGAAAAAATACATGGACAGAAGTGAGCAGAATCTGGCAACCCTGCACACAGGCAAAGGTAAACAAAATGTCTTTTGGGCCACATGTAGAACTCCGATGGGCTGCACGTTGCCCACCACTGCTGTACAGGCTCAGGGATGACATTCCAGGGCTAGAGGACACAGCAAGAAAAGATGCCAAGCTACATAAGGGGGAAACCTAACTTTGGTATGGGAAATATGCTTTGTGATTTAAAAACACATACACACAAGTGACTGTTCTGTGTTGTTTCAGGTGGCAGACATTAGTTGGTGGATTTTTGCTCCACATCTCCTGGAAGCTGGGCTGGGTGGAGATCAGTTACAGTTCAAGGTACGGTGAACTCTGCAGTACACGATTAATATTTACTTTTTGTTGTTGGACTGTGACACTGTTGGGTTCGCTGCAGAGGAAAGTATTGAGCTGCCACGTAGGAGCAGATGGAAAATGAGCACAGTTCAGACTATAAGTGTACTGTGTTCAAACAGACTCACTCCGCATAGCAGAGGCATGAGTAAGGTGGAGGTTCAGTTTTCCATGAAGAGTGAGCAGTAAAAGATAGTGGCATAAAGATTACTTGACTTAACATGTTTCTGGTTGTAATTAAAAAGAGACATTTATATTTATTTGATACAGGAGTGAAGTTTCCATGGTGCTATTAGTTGATAGCATACTTTTATGTTGAGATCCAAACCATTTGAATAGGGCATCCTTTATTTTGCCAGTAATGAGTCATATTCTGCTTTCACTAATGTGCAAGTAACTATATGTTGAACCACTCTGGTCTAGGACTCTCTGGTCCAGCAACATCTGTGGTCCGGCAGGACCAAGGATATTGCTAAACTAGAGACCCCCAAATACAGAGGTTGAGAGCAGCTGGGAATGGAGCTGGTCAAGCAGGTGGCGGTTCGCAGGGCCAGTGGCCTGGGGGCAGGAAGCCTGGGAGCAGCTGTCACCCTGCATGGAGTCAGGTGACTGGGAGCAGAGCCCTGTGAGTCAGCTATGGGCAGCAGAGCCAGGCAGGAGGGCCAGGGAAGGTTAGGCCCCTGGATTCTCCCTGGGTGGCAGCCAGGAAAGGTGCTCCGGAAGCATGAGCACCCCTGGTCCAGCAAACTCCCTTGTTCGGAACCACTCAGGTCCAGAGGGTGCTGGACCAGAGAGGTCCAACCTGTACCCTAACTTCCGAGAGGTTGCAGGGATGTAGATGGGAGCAGAATTTGTCCCAATATGTTTTTATAGGCAATTTGGATAGAGTAATATTTTGGACCAAAACTCTCATTGTCACAATCAAACTCTTCAGGGAACAGCCTTGTTCTGTTGGTAGTAGTTGTTGACTATTGTTACTTAATAAACTTCTATTCTGTATGCATTATTTTTCTTTACCCTTAATACATCTTGGAAATACAACAGGGATGCAGGCATGGAAAAGGTTCAGAAAAGGGCAAGAAATGATTAGGAGTATAGAATGGTTGCCATATAAAGAGAGATTAATAATATTGGGACTTTTCAGCTTGGAAAAAGATGACTAAGGGGGATATGATTGAGGTCTATAAAATCATGACTGGAGTGGAGAAAGTAGATAAGGAAGTGTTATTTACACCTTCTCATAACACAAGAACTAGGGTTCACCAAATGAAATCAATGGGCAGCAGGCTTAATACAAAAGGAAGTATTCTTTCACACCATGCACAGTCAACCTGTGGCATTCCTTGCCAGAGGATGCCGAGAAGGACCAGACCATAGCAGAGTTCAAAAATTGCTGGATAAATTCATGGAGGCTACGTCCATCAATGGCTATTAGCCAGGATGGACAGGGATGGTGTCCCTAGCCCAGTGTTTTTCAAACTTTTTATACTGGTAACCTCTTACACAGTAAGTTTTTTTTTTCAATGTAATGAATGTATAAATTGAAAATGGGGAGGGTTAATTTAATTTCATCAGGGCCTAGGGCTGTCAGCTCCATAAAGCTGATAGTTTGGAACCCCTCTGCAACCACTTTGTGACCCCCCTGGGGGATCATGACCCTCAGGTTTGGAGAACATGTGTTCTAGTTTCTGCCAAAAAATGGGAATGGGCTACACAGGATGGATCACTTGATCATTCCCTGTTCTGTTCGTTCCCGCTGGGGTATTTGACTTTGGCCACTGTTGGAAGATAGATACTAAGGATGTTAAAATGTGGTTAATTGACTAGTCGATAGGCACTTCTGCATTCCTTCTACACTACAAAGAACTACCACTTTGAAGTACACCTCCCCCCCCCCCTTTTGCTGCCTCTATTTCACAAAGGCAGCAAGGGGGGGAGGGGAGGATTGACTAGTCTACTAGTTGACATTACTATCCGATAAACAAACACTTATCAGATAGTTGACTAGTCTTTAACATCCTTAATAGATACTGGGCTAGATGGATCTTTTGTTTGATCCATTATGGCTGTTCTTACATTTTTATAAGATAAGTCTTGGGTTTTTTTAAGTATAACTTGTTCAGAAATGAATTTTTGTGAACATTTTTGATTGGAAAAAAAACAAAATTCTTTGTGAGTTTGTATAGGTTGTTGTTTAAAAAAATATAAAGCTATATCCAAAACAAAACCAGTTATTTTTGTTTGTTTGTTTCTTTCGGTAAAAACTTGAAAAAAATTGAAGACAATTTTTAGATAAAAACATTGGATTTTGTTGAAAGGCCATTTTCTGTCAAAGAAAAAAGTTGATGGAAAATTTTGACCAGCTCTTTCTGTGTGTGTTTTGGAAATAACATCTAACATCCACTAGATGTCAGTCTGATATAGGAAACAAAATGAGATTAACAACCGCTGAGAGACAAACAGTTCTGGAGCAAGCATTTTCTAACTATTAGTTATTGACTAAATTAAATAACTAGGCATAGCGGATGCTTTAGGCTCATTATGCTAAGCACAGTAATTATATGCTAGTATTAGTACAAAGTCTCATATTTTGCTTTTCCCTCAGCTAGTTTCCTCAGTTTGAGTCAGTCAAAGATCCAGATTTTCAGAAGAGGTCTCTAGTTGTGGGTAGGTTTAATTTTTGAGTGCCCATCTTTACATAGCTAGGCAGGGAGTAAGAGACTATAATTCATATTGCATTCACTCTAAGGGAATTTTAGAACCCTACAGGTCTGATTTAAAGCCCACTGAAGTTAATGAGCCTTTCTACTGACTTCAGTGGGCTGGATCACATCCTAACAGCCAGGCAGCTGTTTTTTTCTTTCCTTCCTTAATGTTACAACAGTTTACTTCCCTGGATGGATGTCACTAATGCTATCAGTCATGTTAGTAATAATTTTAAAAGGGGGGGGGGGGACACTTCACAAATTTTTGAAATGCTCCTGGGCCACCCCGGAATGGACGGGGCTTTGGATGGAAGGGATGGGACGAGGACACTTCTGTGTTCCCCTGCCCACAGACCCTGATTGGCCTGGGGGTGGGGAGAGCGCATGAAGTCTTTGCTCCCTTGTGCCAGACGCCTAGAGAGAACCACCAGCTGTTCTGAACAGCTGGCAGTTCCCTCTAGGTGCCGTGTGCCCATAGTGGTGAGGGGGGATTTTGCATGTTGACCCTGCCCCCAGGCCAATTATGGGTTGGGGGCAGCGTAGTGAGCCTAGTCTCTCACCCCGCCCCCACAACTGCCCTGCAAGGCCTGTAAGTTCTGAACAGTTGGTGGCTCACTCTAAGCGCCGTGCACCCCTTGCAGGGCGGGAGGAGACTTTGTGTGCATCCCCCAATCCCAGACCTCAGTTAACCCAGCCAGCTGCCTCCCATCACTGTATCTTGGCTTAGGGTTACACTACAGGCAGCCTTCTTCAGTTTCCTCTTGAATTATTCAAAGAAACTTCACTTGAGGCTTTTTCTTGGTCAAACATACCCATCCTTAGGGATTGGGCTTATTAATAAAAAATTAACTGTAAATTATGATTCAAATGGTAACCCCCAATAAAGTTGATTCATAAGTCCACACAACTCCAGGTTTCTCTTCTCCCTCTGGGGCCTCCCTATCTGACAAGTTTTGCAGTCACTTCCTTGCTTGATAAGGGTCTCTCCCAGGTCTCCACTTTCTGCAGGCTTTGCCACAGCTTCTTGAGGTTCCCCCTCTATTGTAAGTTTCTGAACTTTTTATATGGGGAATCCTCCCAGGTGGAGCTGATCTCTTAATCAGGATTGGCTTAGACCCAGGTTCTTCTGCTCACCTAGCTACATTGAACCTGATTATTTGACTGGCCTGCAAATAGGGGTGCTTATTTCTGATGAAACACTTCATCTGATATCTAGGCACTCTTTTCCAGTCCTGATATTTCCTCTTGGCAGAATAGAACTCTGCTGTTACATCCTGGGAACTATTTCGGAAGTCGTTTTCCACTGCATTTTGAATGATTGCACTGGAGATATACACATTTCTGGAATTCCTGAAACTTCACAACATGGTCAGTTTTTCTTTTTTATGTTCCTAATGGGAATCCAGTTCTCAAGTTGGTTTTATTTTTTCAGAGTTCTGCCAATTCAATGGCTTAGTTCGCTATGGGTAGGCCTCTGATGTGAACTCATTGGTAGAACACTCCAGTAGGTTTAGAAGCAAAATTCCAGTTGCAGTCAATAGCCTTAAAAGGCGCATTATTCCTATAAAGATGATAATGACTAGCCAATAAACAAGGAAGACTGGGGATTTGTGTGTCAGTGACTTTTAGCTCTTCTGGTTTTTTAGTCAAGTGTCCTCTAAAGCATATATGAAAAGAAATGTGCAAAAGGAAATGAAACATGATGTGTGTGTTTTTCTTCCATTGAATTTGCATAAATCTTTGTACATGTATCCTCTTTCAGCTTATTTTAATTTCACATTCTTCAATAGAGTTTTTTTTGTTTTGCTTTTTGCAGCATGTGACTGTATTTCATGAACCAGGATTTTAGTAGTACAGTATTCAATTTCTGAAGAACTAAGATTTCACACTTTTAAACATAAATATTCTGGAGTTACTTCATGATCTTTTAGGCCTGTTCCAAAGCCAATGAAAGTCAATGGAACAACCCTTTCCTTCCTTACTCCCTTTGGTATAGGGATGTAATTGACTAATCGAGTAATTGACTACCCGATAAGCATATATTTATTGGGTAGTCAAGTCACTACTTGACTAGTAGCTTCCCCTGCTTGCTGCCTCTATCAAAGACCACAAGGAAGGGAGCCAGCTTAAAAGCCAGTTCCCCCCAGCACTTTCTCCACCGGGGGGTGGGCAGAGGAGGCAGAGGTGCAGCGGGGGATCACAGGAATCAGCTGTCCCGGCTCACCCCGAGACCTAGAAGCTGCACCTCTGCCTTTAAAATGTAGCAAAAGCCATGGGTATCTCTTGCTACATTTCAAAGGCAGAGGCACAGCAGGGGTAGCGAGTGCCCCCTTCCCTCCTTATCAATTAATAGAGTAGTCAATTCGCTGATTAATTGAAATTTAACATCTCTAATTTTGGTACAGGTTAAATCTCTAAAATCCAAGACTCTCTGATCCGGCAACATCCATAGTCTGATATTGCTGGATCAGAAAGCCCCCGCTGGTCAGGTTCAAGGGCTGGACTGGTGGTGGAGAGCACAGCACTGATGGCAGCAGGCTGGCATGGTGGAAAGCAAAGTCTCTGGCTGGAGTTGGTGGCAGGGAGTGCAACCCTGCTGTGTCAGCAAGCAGCAGGGACAGCACCCGAGTGCATAGCCCTGGCCGAGTAAGGCGGCGGGGCCTGGGAGTCAGCCCCAGCCAGGGCTGGCACAGCACAGCGTGGAGCCAGGCTGGAGACAGCGGGGCCGCCTGGCATCTCCCGTGCAGTGGGGAGCACAGCCCCATCCCCAGATGGGAGGGCAGGGCTGGGGGCAGTGGGGCCAGCAGGGGAGTAGAACCAACAGCCAGGAAGGGAGCGTTGGCTTCCCCTGGTTCGGCAAACTCTGGTTCAAGACCGTTTAGGTCCCGAGTGTGCCGGACCAGGGAGGTCCTACCTGTACTATTCCCAGCAAAGATAACCTCTTGACAGGTGCTTTTCCGACCCTACCCTATGAGATTTGTAGAAGAAAAAATGTCCACCTGTTAAAATCAATCTGAACAGCTGCTATGAATGGAAGTCACACGAGTATTCTGTGGAGATATATAAGGGAGCATAACTGTTGATTCAGTAAAAGAGAAATGTTGTGGTTAAATTAGTTAACTTGTTCCTTTCTGTTCTGGATATTTCCTAATTAAGTTGGGGGGAGTATGTCAGGGCAAAACACTGAATTAAATATATACAGCAGAAATCCCTTTTACATTGTCCATCCTAAAGAACTGCTGCTGATGGTCATTTGTAAAAGGAATGTGGTAAATAATGGTATTTTTAATTCTTTTTACAGGTCTGAAGTACTGACATGGCTCCCGGCTTCAGTATTTTTTGTGGGCATTATCTATGCAGGTTCCAGGGCATTATCTAGATTGGTAAGACACAAACCAATGGCAATTAATAGTATAGATTCTCTGTGCTTCATGACTGCTAGAAATTAGAGGCTTGATCCTGCAAAGTGTGGCATGCCACCAAGAGGTACCTTGCATCCTGGACTCCCACCAATTTTAGTAACAGTTGAGAAGACCCAGCATCTCCCAGGAATAGACCCTCACCAAACTACCTTATGCAAACAGCGAAGTTGGTAGAGGACTTCATTAGTTCTCATTTTTTGTTTACATCTACTGCAAAGGGAAGGTACAATGAGCTCAGTGGAAAAAGCTCATTAGAAAAGGCTTGTGTCCCTTTTACAGGATATTTTTGATACAACACAGGGTTTGGAAAAAAATGGCACAATTTCTATATGGGAAGAGATTAAGACACTGAATAGATTCATAAAATCATTTAAACCATAATAACCCAGTGAAGAGCTATGAGAGGTCAAGTATGCTTTAAGTAATATTTAATATCATTTATCAATATAAATTGCCTTTAACATATTTGGTTCTTGACTATCCCATGACCTTACTATAAAAAACTGTTTTGTTTTTTTAATACAGGCAGTCCCCGGATCCCTACTTACAAACAGGGTGAGGCAACCCCGCACTAGCTGCTTCCCCCCAGCAGACCAGGGAGATGCGAAGCTAGCGCCCCCCCACCCCAGCAGACCAGGGAGAGGTGGAGCGGCTTTTCTCAGCAGACACCTCAGCTTGAGAATAAAGGACTGAGGGAAGTGAGGTGTGGGAGAATAAAACTGAGCTCTGGAGAAATGTTTGGCTAGAGTTTCCCCTACAATATGTACCAGTTCCAACTTACATACAAATTTAACTTAAGAACAAACCTACAATCCCTATCTTGTACGTAACCCGGGGACTGCCTGTAATTGTCTAGTCTGTGCAAACTTCCCCATGAGTTTTGTCAATACATTCCAGTAGAGACCTAGATAACACTCTTCAAACTCTATGGCCAGATCATACTCACCCATATTTAAACCCTGGCTGACCCACTACACCTTTGGCTTACCAGTTTCCAGCCCTTCCCTACTGCTTGGATACCTAAACATTCAAGAAAGACGAGAATGTTTTTTGGGGGTAGAGGAAGAGTTGAACCCACTTCTGTGCAGGAAGGCACAGAGATCCACACAGTGAGGTTCTTAACCATGCATAGATTATATTGGCCACTGTCCTAACCTCTCTTGGACCGAAGCTGCCAGTTGTAGTTGGTTTTGTGATGTGTCCAAATAGGGACTTTAGGTCCAATCCTGAAAACACTTAGGCATATGAGAGAGTTGCTCAGGTGAATAGTCCCATTAGGTTCATGGACCCTAACTGGTGTGTAGGTTCATATATTTGAATGAATTTCACTCCTGAATGCATGCTTCAATGTCCAACATAGGTACATAATATAGACATAAGGAAAATAGATTTAACAAATCACTGGAGTGGGGCATGCTCTCATCAGCAATGTGTTTGGCTCTTAGCTCCAGTAGAAATTACATTAATTTCATGGGCTGAGTCAGGGACCCAATCCTGCCAATACTTTGAGTGAATAACTTACACACAGTTGTTTACTGGATTGGGCCCTCTTTGGGGGTGTTTTTTTTTTTTTTTGTGAACATCACAAAAACATTGCCCATCTCTCTGCTCAGGAAAGGTCTGAAACTGGAAGAGGATTGCTTGTGTCTAGACTGAGATGCACTGAGAGAACTATGTGAGGAAATCTGCACAGAATCCAACTGCACTGGCTGGTCCCAGCTAGTGTACCTTCCGTTCATGAGAACTAAAGCCACTCATAAATTTAAAAAAATTCACATCAAGACAAACATATGGAGCAGATTAACTGAGCTGGGCAAATTGGAGCAATTTTGGCGCGAAAACGTATTTCTTTTGACTTTAGAAGGAGCCAATAGTACAAAAAAAAATCCCACTAGTAAATTAGCGCCACAAAAGGAAGAATGTAAATCCTGGTGTCAGCTTTCCTTGGATATCATTACTTCTGTGTTTCCTAATATTGTGTCTAGCTTAAGATGCTTATATTAGATGGTTTCATTTTAACTTTCTCACTTGGAAGCAGAAGTACAAGCCCAGCTTTGGGATTAGGACTTGTTAGGTTTTCGGTACCAGAGAAAAAGCAGCTGACAACTTACTTTCTACTGTACATGACTTTTGTTTGCTTGCTTGTTTGTTTTTTCTGTTTTCTTGCTAATGTAAAGGTGGTTAAAGTGATCATTATGTAAATGTGCATGTGTTCATTGCTCCATCTGAATTGTCATTAGAGCTAGGGTTTTTTTATAGGCACGATTTGTCTCGCTATGTGGGAAAAAAGAACAAAATATTGAAAAATCAGTTTGTGGCTTCTTTGCAGAGTAAATTCTAAGATGTGTTTAGTGCATACATACACTATCATCCTTGGGGAATCTCAAGTACATTGCAAATGTGAATTTATCTCACCAACTCTGTTTTCCCCATCTGTGGATACTAATATTTACTTTCCTCACATGAGTATAAAGAATTAAAGTCAACATTTTCTGAGTTTGGGTTGCCTTAGGTTTTTCACTGCCAGTCTGAGATACCTAAGATATGATTTTCAAAAACTGCTGAGCCCCTGTAATCCAGGGGTTTGTCTACACAGCAGGGCAAAACTCGAATTAAGCTATGCAATGTGAGCTACATCAATTGCATAGCTGAAGTCGAAATAGCTTAACTTGGCTTTTGGTGCTGTCTACAAAGCAGGAAGTCCAAGGAAGAACACTCTTCCTTCAACATCCCTTACTCCTCATGAAATGAGGGTTATAGGAGCTGGAATAAAACATCCTCCAGCTCGACATTATTTCAAAATAATTGCTTGCAGTGTAGACACTTTTGGTTATTTTAATCTGAAATAACGCTGCTGTGTAGACATAGCCCAATGGAACTCCCCTGGAGTCACATTAATCATTATCATTATTGTCTGTTTCTTTAATATTTTCATTGGAATAGCAGCAAGAGGCTCCCTGGGTCCTTTTGTCTCAAAAGCATAAGTCCAGTACTGCTTAAGTACCCTGTTCTATACTTCTTCCCTAGTTTGTGGCAATTCTTCATAAGAGAAACTGATGGCAAACCTGTAAAAATGGCATTCAGAATGCTGTGACCTAAGTAACTCCAAATTTCTGTGTTAGTAGACAGATATAGGAAAATGAATAAGAACAGCTTACTGTAGAGAGATAGGGTGCTTATTCTGAATGTTGTTTTTCTCCTTTGGTGGCAGCCAATTCCTGTGTTCCTTACTGTGCACAATGCAGCAGAAGTTATAACCTGTGGATTCCAAAAGTTTGTGCAGAAAGAGGTAATTGATATATGAAAGGCCAGCTCCAGTACCTTAACTGCTCTGTAACAAGATGCTGTGTTTCTTTTAATACCTAAATTAGTCCTGCATGCTTTCCTGTCTGCGCTGCTGAGTCCCAGAGACTGCATTCACTGTCAGCAAATATCAAGTTGTTGACCTAGTTCTTGGCTAGGGAAATATGTTGAATGAACATTGACAGTTTGATCTGTATTTGTTTTAAAGACTGGTTTGGTTCTGATGACTAATTCATTTTAAAAATGAATTCCCCTCTCCTTTATGGCAGATATTAGAACTTGATCCTTTGACCTCAGTGGCAGGAGAACTGGGCCCCTTAAATCACACAAGTGCAGCATGTCTAGTGATTTGATAAATGGTATGAGTCTCATGTGAACTACACACAGCTGGAATTGATCACATCTCAATGTGAAAGTTGGGGTGGGGGTCTCACATGTTTCTAGGTGCTATCGGATATGTTGCATTGCTTTTCAAAACCTGTGGCTGCAAATATAAGGATACACCTACACTGCATTTTAAAACACATGGTAGCAAGGCTTGGTGTCTACAGACTCAGGCTCATGGGGCTTGCACTACAGAACTAAAAGCAGTTGTGTTGACATTGGATTTAGGCTGGGGTTGGGGCACTGAAACCCAGGAAGAGGGTGGGGGTGAGTGTTGGAGACTAAATCCCAGCCTGAACCATAATGTCTACACACTTGTCTTTAGGGCCATGCTGCAAGCCTGAATCTGTAGACATGCTGCCATATTTTTTTAAAATGCAGTGTAGGTGTACCCTTAGAGAGAGTAATTCCTGTCTAATTCAGGAGTATTGCCATTTCTTTTAACAGGAGCGGGATCTGTTGCTTAAGATGCAATGGAGAGCCTGGTTAGTAGATATCAGTGTGATTTCCTTTGTAGAGTGATCCTGGCAAACACTTCACACCACATGAACCCTCCTCTAGTATGGCCTACTTTGAAAGGAATCTTTCATTAGTTATGTTTGTGGTGTGTAGAATAAAAGCCAGCCAGCCAGCCAGCACCGGATGCCACTGTAAACCTGAAGTTCAAAGATCATAATTTCATCCGATATAAATACCGATATGTCCGTAATTTCATCCAGCTCCCCCAAAGTTTGGGACATATTGACATTTAGGATTTTGGCTCACTTCAAGATAAAGATAAAGGCCAGGTATGAAATTCATGTCTGGTATCAAGTTAAGACCAGTTCCCCTGAATATTCAGTTCTGAGATAGGATAATAATTGGTAAAAACCAAATTCTGTTGCGAAGTAAGTGTTCCAGTCAGACACAATGGCTGGTTTATTGTTGTTTATCAACCTCTTGGAACCAATGCCATCATATATAGCACTTATTTTATTAAATTTTTAGTTTTTAATTTTTGCTACTTATAGCAAATATTTAGAGTTATCAGTGAAAATGTTTGAAATCTACCTCCCATCTTAATGCAAAAGAATGAAGAAGTGGGCTGTGCCCACGAAAGCTCATGATACCATCTATATGTTTTGTTAGTCTAGAAAGAGCTACCAGACCAGTTTTTGTTTTTGAAGTTTATCCTGTGCAGACTAACTCGGCTACCTTTCAGTGATCAGTCACTTTACATCTTTTGAGCATGTTTTCTTTCTTTTTATACAGCACACCTCTCTCCTAAAAATCTGCAGGTAAGTTTTTTAAGCTAGTCAAATGGGGTGAATTGCACTGGTTTTGGCTCTGGTTTCTATATTTACTTCAGGTAATGGAACACTAAACCATTGTATAGCTTAAGACACATTACTGTGGGCAGTAGGACCATGATGCAATGTTCATTAATTAAATTTGTTTTAATTATCTAAAAACAATTGTAAATATATATTTTTTAAATAAAATAAATGGTGTTGCTGGAAGGCCTATGATTATGACTAACAAACTTACATGATGGAGGCAAAACATGTTTTTGGAAAGAAAACATTTCTAGTTTAAGCTTCCAAAGGCTAACCATAAACAGCAAAAGAATAAAGCTTTAACGTGATGCCAAGTAGCTCAAGAATGGCCCTTCCGAGACTTGTAGGGCCCAGTTTGACCACCGTACTCATGCTTGTTGTAAAAATCTGGCTCTTATTTTGTTGCCGCTATATATTTAACCTCCAAAAAGGAGAAGAGAGAATGGCAAATAGAAAACCACTCACTCAGCAGGCCAAGTGTTCCTTCCCTCCCGCACAACCCCTTAGAGTATGACCTAGCCACTTGATTTTGGAGCTCAAGAGTACAGTTGTTCCCTTGGCCCTGATCATAGAATATTGGTGTAGCATTTATGCTGCTTACAAGCAACATGTTCATTGATGCGTTAGAGATTTTTTTTTTTTAGTTGAGGTGTTTCCCCCCCCCCATGATTTTGTCATGCACAGGTTTTGATCACTGAATTATCTCCATCAAGCATTCCTGAGTTTTTCGTGCTTGGTTTTGCTTTTTTCCCCCATAGAAAACAAACTTGCCCTCTGCCCCTCTGAAAAACTAACTGAAAAAATAAATGTTAATTAGGGTTACTATTGATGCAGAATTCCTAACTTTTCATGGTGCATTGCAGAAATAGAGAGATGTGAAATTTGGCTGAAGAAGCTTACATTCTGAATTAGATGGACTTAAGCATTGACGACAACAGATGAAGGAAGGGAGACATAGGGAGGGATGAGGCTCAGTTCCGCTCTGTATCTGAGTTCTGCCTGGAGCTGTCAAAGAGCAGATTATAGCTACCTGGTTCTGCAGTTGACTCAGGCTTAGTGTGTGTAAGAGCAGTCTGTGGGATCTTACACCAGTGAAGGATTGGTAGAGTAGAGCTTCTTTCCATTGCACCCTCAGTCCACTATGGCCCCAGTGTGCCCCCTAAGCTAGGAGCTGGGGGAGGAATGGCTGGTGCAGGTGCCACCTCTGCTGGGGACAGCAGGGAACTCTCCTCAACAAGTGGACCTCTTTGCTGGCCATTTATCTCCATTATCTGATCCTCTTTGTGCTGCCAAAGTGGCATAAAAGGCTTGGATGGTAAGGGAGAATCTGGCATAATATGATTAATACTCTCAAATATGAAGCTTGTCCACAGCATTAACTCATGTATATTTTGCACAGATATTCTCTTCCTCTGATTCAGTTTTTTCTGTTAAATACAAAGGAGAACCTGTGGATGGAAAAAGTTCCTAACCTCATTGGATGGGACAGCAGTGGGTTACGAACTATAGGTCTTTGTTTTCTTCCACACAGTGTGCTGTTCCTCCTGATCGCAGCAGGGTGCCTTCCTTTGTTTGACACAGAGGTGGGTCCTATTTTGTCACCCTTCTTTGACCTTGGTATTCAGGAGCCCTGTGTACAAAAAGGGAGAACATACATGCATGGTTTTTGCTAGTGCATTAAGGCAATTCAGTTAGTTTTGTGAAGGATTATAAAATTGTCTCCTTGGCCTAACTACATAATATTTCATTTATTAATTTGTATTGTGGTAACTCAGAAGAGACCCAGTCTTGTGGAAGGATGTTCTAGTGGTTAAGGTGCTAGTCTTGGGACTCAGGATACTCAGGTTAAAATTTCCTGCTTTTTCCCCAAACTTCTTGGGTAAGTCACTTTGCTTCTCTGTACGTCCGTTTCCTGTCTTTAAAATGGGGATAATAGGACTTCCCTTCCTTTCAGGGTATTACAAGGAAAAAATAAAGATTATGAGATACAAAGAGGCCATCTATATATCATAGATAGCTGTAGATCAGGGCCCCATTATTTAGGCACATTGAACAAACAAAAAACAACAAAGATGGGGGTCTTGCACCTCACAATCTGAGTAGAAATTGTCTTTTTTTTTCACAGTGAGTTTTTCTGTATGTATGAAGTGTGTGTACTGCAAGAGTGCTTATTTTGATACTGTAACAGAGGTATACATCTGGGGCAGGCCTACTGTTCTGCGCTGCAATCTTTGTACGATCCAGGAATATGGTCTCTCTTGGCACAAGTCTGCAGAGGCTGCAAATCTCAGCGTGCATCTATATAGCAAAATAAACTCCCCAAACCGTGCAGCAGTGAGTCTCAGAGCCTGAGTCAATTCACTCAAGGTTGCACAGCTTGGGTTGCTGAACTAAAAACTAGCAGTGTAGATGTTTTGGCCTAGGCTGGTGTTGGGGCTCTGAACCCCTAAAAAAGGAGAAAGGGTCTCAGAAGGCAGCCTCCAGCCTGTGTTCAAACATCTCTGCTGCTATTTTTAGCTCAGCAGCCCAAGCCCAGCACGCATGAGTCAGTTGACCTGGATTGTGAGACACGCTACTACAGGTCTTTTTGGCTATGTAGACGTACCTTGGAGAGAGGACATTACTGACTGCTGTGGGGAGGAACATTCTACAGCATTTTGCAGCAGGCCCCTGTCTGCTACGCTAATTTAGGGGAATTGGTTGTGACAGGTTTCTGAGGACATCATGTCTCTGCTTTGCTTGAAGAATAGTAGCTGCAATGCCAGGTTTTGACAGCAGAGAATGGAGAGTAGGGGGTTGAAGTCTCAGGCCACATCTTAACTTGAGGGAAGAGCGATGCTGTGGCAGTTGATCTTCCTGGGTTTGATTTAGAGGAAGTAGTAAAGACCCACTAAATCGAAGTGTGAGGGCACCCGCATCGATGTCGGAACTCCTACTCCTCATGAGGAGTAAGAGAAGTCAAAGGGAGTGTTTGTTCCATCAACTGTCTGCTGAGAGGACGGTGCTAAAGCTTGGCTTACAGAAAGTCAACTCCAGCTTCGCTTTTTAACTTAAGCCAACCTTCCCCTGTAGTGTGGACCTGGCCTCAGAATATGTAAATCAATGTAGCTTGTCCACTGAAGCCAATTGAGCTATACTGATTTTTACCAGCTGAGGAGCTGTCCATGGACTATAAAGTCAAGGTACATAGGATGAGCCTTTCGGCTCAAAAGAGTCTCTGGGAAATCTTTAAACTTGCTTAATGTGGTGTTGTTTATAGGGCAGTTCCCATTGTGTTTGGTTTGTGAAATCAAACATAAAGGAAGTATTTGTGGATGCATTTACATGCATGTTCATTTATTTATTTAGATGTTCTCTGTTATAGTTTGATCCAGATGGCTATCTCTGGGCTCTCATTCACTTCATCTGTGTTGGTAAGTTTTGAAAAACTTGTCTGAGGAAAAAGCAAACTCATCAAGCAGGGAAATTATGGCCTTCTTGTGACTATAGGGAAATTTTAAATTCATGATAGGAGATAGAAGAAATACTTTGATGAAAGATAAGAGGGTTTCTTCTCATACTGCATCATATAACAGAAAATAGGAATATTTCCCCACCATAGCTTTTAAAATGGAAAACAAGAATAGAGGAAATTCAATGGGGCAGTCAGTGGTCATGCTGGATCAGAAAATTCACATATTTTAATAAGCAGTGGTAGTTTTGCAGTGTTTTGATGATTTTGCTCACTAATGGCTCTTCCTTAGAAGACATTTACAATTTGTGGTCTGGGCTTTACTTACACACACTGATTTGATTTTATTTAAAAAGTTTATTGGCAGAAAGTATTCTAAAATATTGAACATTTGTGCAACACATATGTTCACCACCCAGAGGAAGGGTGGTGAAATTTTGAGTTGTATTTGTGTGTGAGTATACAATCATCTTTCATTTTTTAATTTAAACTGTGATTTTTCCTTTCTAAGGGCATTTGGATATATTTCTATGTTTTTTCTGTAGTTTGGATAAATTCTGGAATTTTTGGCTTTGGCATAGTACATCTGATGTCAGTGACACACTCTTTAAGTTACTGTATAAGCTAAATATTGTACTGGAACAGTCAAGCCTGGAGAGTCTGCAGATTGGAAAAATAGCAATTAAATAATCAGATACACATTTATTAATACAAGGCCTTAGTCATAGGCCATTTTGCCCAAATAAAAGTAAAAATAAATGCTACTTTTAAATTGACACATCTCAATAAAATAGATATGCATTTTAAAAGAACAAAATTGAAAAACACAATATTAAACAGTCTCTGAAGTGGTGATTTTAAAAGAGTAGTTGAATCTGGCTAGTGGCTAAAGCATTGGACCAGGTTGCAGAAAACCTGAGCTAATTCTTGGCTCTGCAATAGACTTTCTGTGTAATCTTGGGCAATTCACAGACCCCTCCTGTTTGGTGCCTAAATACCTCTGAAGATCTTGGCCTTGATTTCTCTGTGTATCATTTAGCCATCTGTAAAATGGGGATAACAGTACTTCTTTTTCATCTGGTCTGTTAAGGTTTTATGTAGAGCCCTGCAAATCCTCAGATATCCACTTTATATTCATGGGTATCTGCATCTGCCGATCTGACTTTGGATATCAGCAGCTTATTTTTTGTGGATACAGATGTCGATGCAGATACAAATTTTGCATCTAGAACCCTGCGAATTTTCAGATATCTGCTTTTTATCCATGGTTAACCACATCCGCAAATATGGGTATGGATATTCCCAGCTCATTTTTGTTGATACAGATGCAGATACAAATTCTATATATGCACAGTGCTCTAGTTATACGTTCTTTGGGGCAGGGATTGTCTCTTGCTGTATGTTTGTAGAGTGCCTAGAGACTTCACTCTAGGTGCTACTAGAACAGAAATAAAAAATAATACTGTACTTGTAACTTTCCTGAGTAATTGTCATGTTATAAATACTTGCTTATTTGTATTGGGATAAAACAACAGTACAATGTGTAAGCTAAACATTGTTCAAGATTTGCTTAACATGTATTTTATGCTTTATCATGATAAATAGTATTATTCCTTCTACTAGCTCTGGGTTTGTCTATGTGAACATTTAGTATGGGACAAGCTATGGTGTTAATCTGTGTGTGAGGCATCCACCCCCCACAATTGCACAGAAGGAGTGAATAGAGCCCTGGGGAGATCACAAGGGCAGCAGCCAATAGGAATGGGGCTGGTGAGGAACAGCCAAGAATGGCTCAGCAGGCCCATATAAAAAGATCCCCAGAGCAGCGCAAGGTAATTTGCTGCTGGGAGCCCAGAGAGTAAGCTCTGAGTCTCTGGAGGGCTGAGAGAACTGTAACTAATAACAGACAGTGGCTTGCTCCTGTGATTGAGCAGCTGAATGCCTTGCGATGAGGGTGAAGAGGGTGCTGGGGCCATGAGGAAGTGTCCCAGAGAAACAGAGCAGTTGAGAAGAGGATGCTGCGAGAGGAGCTGTAGGCAGGAGCAAAGACAGCGTGTGGATGTGCAGACCACAGATGGGTTGGCTTCAAGCTAACTCCCAGCATGACCAATAGGAAGTGCCAGTCCGGCGATGAGGGCTGCACCCCGTGACAGCCTGTTCCACAGTGCCTTGTTGCACACTAAGGCCTGGTCTACACTAGGGGATAAGTTCAAATTAAGATGCGCAAGCAACTTCAGCTATGTTACTTCGACTTAAGCTATGCAATTATCTTAACTCAAATTTTGGCGCCATCCACACAGTGGGAAATCGAAGGGAGCACACTTTCCCTTCGACTTCCCCTACTCTTTGTAGAAGCAGGACTCCCAGCATCAACCGGAGTGCCCCTCTCAGTTCAAATTAGTGTGTCTTCACTAGACCTGCTATTTCGAACCTGGGAAGATTGACTGTGGCTGCTTTCCTAAGTGTCCTTGTTGACACACATACACTTTTCTAGTGCTTTTTGCTCTAACTCGCTTTGAAACAGGAGTAGATTGAAGCACACTGAGGAATTATTAGGTTTTGTCTATGCTGCAATAAAAAACTTGTGGCACTGAATCAGGATCCTGGAGCTTGGCCCATAGGACTAAAATTTGCAGCATAGAACCTCTTGTGGGATCTCAGAGCCTAGATGCCAGCCAAGAATACAAGTCTAATTGCTGTTTTGTAGCTCTGCAGCCCAAGCCCTAGAAGCCTGACCCAGCAGTAGCTGTGCCAGGGTTTTTTTTTTTTTTTTAACTACAGCGTAGACATGCCCTCAGTACATGGCAGTAGAGCTCACACAAACACTTAAGGTACATCTACACTGCCTGTGAAGCCTGGAATGTGATTCAGGTTTGAGTCCAAACTCCCCTTCCGTCAGCGCACACCAGTTTGACCTGGGTCAGTGTCCCTAAGAATCTTGTTGGGGAGTGGGTGGGTCAGAGCTTAAGTCCCATTGTGAGTCCGGTCCAAGCCTTGTCATTTTGTGATGCGTTAGATCCAGATTAATCCACAAACCTAAAGTGAAAGGTCGGAGTAGTGCAGTAAGGATTCATTAGCATGGCAGCAAGACCAGGATCCAGCAATTTTACACCCAGATTTACAAGGAAGTGAGGATGTTCAATTGCAGGCCTAGAAACATTGAGTCCATTAGTTTGGGTCCCACAGACCCAAGGTTGTGCAGGGCAGACTAGGTCAGGATAGATTTACACCTCAGCTTGCTGTGAATGAAATGTTTGTGTAGACACAGCCTCAGTGGGTCTCAAACTGTGGTTCATAAACATTGGAAGTCCACCAAGAGGAAAGGCTGTACACAGAGATCTGACACAATGGATGAACAGTATGACTGAAGCAAGGAGCTCCAACCAACTGAGAGAGCTGGACAATTGATGTTGCTTAGCTGAAGAGCTTGAGTGCATTCCACTGCTTGAAACATGAACTAAATACATTTGTGTGTGTGAATGCAATTGTAATCAACATTTTGCTGTAGTCTGTAAAGTGTTAACTGGTCCCTGCCTGCCACTTGGGATGGGGTATAAAAAGGAGAAGGAAGTTAACTTTTCATCTATTGTCTTGGTTGAATAAAGCAGGGAAAGCCTATGGGATTCATTACACAATGTTTCAGGAGAATTGCTTTTTTGTTTTGTGAGTATTTGGAAACAATAAAACAAGCCCAGATGAAAGGACCTGAGACTAATGCCTGAAGCTTAATTTTCTCCTGCCTCCTGTGGATGAATCACTTTACAGACAGCAAAGAGAGATTGGTAGCAAACAATGGACAGATCAAAGATGTAAAACAACCTTGAGAGATTAGAGCTGGGGACACTGCAGATAATAGAGATTCAGTATCAACAAATGTTAAGTCCTCTACCTGTACTGGAAAAGAAATAAGCAGGGCCAATACAAACTGAGGCAGGTGCAAGCAGCCATTGCATTACCACAAGTTTATGTCTATATTGTCTCTTGAATGGTGTCCTGATTTAACTTTTAAAATGTAATAATCCCTACAGTTGATGGTATGAAAAAGGTTCAGAACAGTTATTTTAGGTTATATTTGTTAGCAATTGTGTGCATCCTTTGTGCCATGCTTGTAAAAAGTACAAATAAATATGTGTGTACCACTGTCAAATGAATAAAGCACATTAACCAGCACATACTAGACCAGTTACATGTCATTTCAATTACAGGTGTCTACAAAGTAATTCACAAGTTGTGGAAAACGAATTCCTTAAGGTAACTTTAATTAATTAATTAATTAATTACTGAACGAATGAATGAATAATGGAAAGGCATGGCCATCACAGAAGAGTAGACGTTTATCTAGTGGACAGGTAAACTGTAGGCTTCTCTCCTCTTCTTTATCAAGATGAACTTTCTTTTATGGCTAGCAACTGACCAGTAGTAACTTTTTTGATAAAATAAAGTGTTGATTGTGACCCTTATGATACACCTAAGTGTATTGTATATAGCACTAAGATGAACACTGCTAATTCATGCTTGAATTCACTTTAAACAATACATTATTAATGAATCATGGCTCAATTCAGAAAAATCAATTATTGGGGTTTTTTTTGGCACAGCTATTTGAAAACCATTGGCTTCTATTAGCTTGAGTGCTGCAGAGTTTGTACTTATGTTTCTCTCTCTCTCTCTCTCTCCCCAATATAAGAGATGCAGCATCAATTTTTCAAAAGCATTTACACGGCACCCTAAACTCGAAATAAGATAAGCAATTTGCACTATGCAAATTGCATATCTTATTTCCAAGGCTCGACGATCGCAGCAAAAACCCACTCGGCAGCCCCGCACCGTGCATGCACCAGACCTGCACTATGCATGTGCGCACCGCCGGTGAACGGGGCGATCGGCTGAAATCTACTTGCCACAGGCGAGTAGATAAGCAGATTTGTCGAGCCCTGCTTATTTCGATTATTTCAGAATAGTTTATTTCGAAATTTGGCGTGTCTACACAGTGCCTGATTTTGAAATAACATGCTATTTTGAGACATCCCTTAACCCTCATGGAATGAGGGTTACAGGGATGCCAGAATAGCACGCCTGTTATTTTGAAATAATGGGCGTGTTTAAAAGATGTGCGTTAGCTATTTTAGGATACCTCTGGTATCCTGAAATAGCCCGCTGTCTAAACGTACCCTTAGTGACTTAGTCCCTGAAATCCATGGACTTCCAATGAGATTTAGGTGCCTTAATCATTTAAACACTTCTGAAAATTGTATCCCCAGTCTTAGCAGTACAAATGCATTGTTGCGTTTGCAAGTTGGTAGTCATGTGAATACCTTTGAAATTACGTCAGCCTGAATATTTGTCCTGTCACTAATCTGCAAAAATATACATGGACATAATTGCCTCTGACTGCAGTTATGGACATGCACACTGTGTTATAATATGTTTGGACTGAAACTTATTTACCAGAATGTTTGCCATATATGTTTAAAGATGAAGGGTCTACACTGCAGTATAAGCTCAGGGTTAACCAAACTCGAGTTAGCAGATCTTGGATTTGTTATTCTAGTGCTTGAGTGTCTACTCTCACTTGTAATCCCAGATCAGGAATTGTTGAATGTTGGGTCCCAGCCTGAAGCTCCAGCATCTACACTATATAAAGCAGGCCTGAGTGCAAGAACCCCCCCATATTCAAGACATGCTGGCACTCTCCCAAAAGGTGGCTGCTGCAGCCCTTTGGTCATGGTGCAATGTGGGAAAATTTGACTGTCCACTAACCTGTCTTTCTAGAGATGACAAAGAAAGCCAGCCCATGGGATTCTAGAGAATGAATCCAGTGGGGCTGTGACTACACTGCAGAGATAGAGTTTGAACCCTGGGTCCCAGTTTGACTCAGGCTTGAACCTATAAACTCCCCTGGAGTCCTGGAACCCTGAGTCTGAGCCCTGAGTTAGTGTGAGTTGTTTGTAGGTGGGAAGGCTGGTTAAATTTGACCCTGAGTTCAAACCCAGGGCTTAAATTGCAATGTGGACATATTTTATAGCTAATTTATAGAAGTTAATGGGAGATTTTCCTTAGTAAGGACAACTGAGCAATATACTTAAATACTGTTAAATGTTTTAAATTAATATGTTGATATTTTAAATTACTGTTAGCTAGAAAGTGCTGCCATTAGACTGCTTTACTGACAGTTCTTTTTTTCTCTTTTTTTCTCTAGCGATTTAGACCAACAATATATAAACTATGTATTCAGGTAAAACTAATTTGCTTTTGATACTCAGTGACTGTCCTTATCTTGCAAATGGTTCCATTTTCAACAGTGTCTTGTTTCAGGAACACAGCTAATGCTCCTGCTAACTAAATAAGTCTAATGTACCTTTATACAAGGGGCTGGGTCCAACAGTAGAATATTTTGACGTGAGATAATAGGTATACATGCCAAGTTACACCTGAAAAGGTAACTGTGTTAACTATGAGTGATCACTGTTCTCCAAAGGTAAGATTGACACCAATGACTTGATGAAAACAAACCAAGCAACACCAATTATGAACAAAGGGGAGTATTACATATAGACACATCCCACACAAAAAGCATTGGCAATAACTATTATGATTAAAAATGGCAATTTATGTAAGAATGGCTGTACTAGGTCAGACCAAAGGTCCAGCTAGTGCAGTATCCTGTCTTCCGACAGTGGCCAAAACCAGGTTTCTCAGGGTACATTACACAGCAGCGATATTTTGGGATACCGAGGTATCCCGAAATAGCTACCTTGTGTTTTAGAAATGCACCAGTTATTTTAAACTATTTTTCGAAATTATGGGCACGCTATTTTACCATCCCTGTAAACCTCGCTGCACAAGGGTTAAAGGATGGCTCGAAATAGCGCGTTATTTTTAAATAGAGTTGAAATAAGCTTCACAATTTGTGTAGCACAGATTGAGTATCTGATTTCGAGTTTTGGGTGCTGTGTAGATGCACCCTCAGAGAGAATGAACAGAATAAGTAATCCTCAAGTGATCCATCCCCTGTCACCCATTTCCAGCTTCTGACAGACAGAGGCTAGAAACACCATTCCTACCCATTCTGGCTAAAAGCCATTGATAGACCTGTCCTTCATGAATTTATCTAGCTCTTTTTTGACTAGGGTTGCCCGATGGTTTCAACAAAAATACTAGACACACTTGACATTACATCACAATCTACATTACATCTTATTTAGAAAATACCGGACATTTATATTTTCCCAAACAGAAAGCTCAAATACTGGACTGTCCGGTTCAAAACTGGATACCTGGCAACCCTATTTTTGACCCTGTTTAGTCTTGGACTTCATCATATCCTCTGCCAAGGAGTTCTACAGGTTGACCGTGCATTTTATGAAGAAGTACTCCCTTTGGTTTGTTTTAAACCTGATACCTATTAATTTGGTGACCCCTAGTTCTTTTGTTATAGGGAGGATTTATTCACTTTTTCCACACCAGTCATGATTTTATAGACTTCTATCATATTCTCTTAGACATCTCTTTTTCAAGCTAAAAAGTCTGTCTTATTAATCTCTCCTCATATGGCAACTGTTCAATACCCCTAATTTTTCTTGCCTTTTTCTGAACCTTTACCAATGCTAAGATATCTTTTTTTGGAGATGAGGTGACAACATATGTATGCAGTATTCAAGATGTGGGGGTACCATGCTTTTGTATAGAGTCAATAAGATATTATCTGTCTCATTCTTTGTCCCCATCTTAACGATTCCTAACATTCTTTTTGCTTTTTTGACTGCTGCTACGCACTGAGTGGATGTTTTCAGAGATCAGTCCACAATAACTCCAAGATCTCTTTCTTGAGTGGTAACAGCTAATTTAGTCCCCATCATTTTATATGCAGAGCTGGGATTATGTTTTTCAGTGTTTGTGACTTTGCATTTATCAGCATTAAAATTCATCTGCCATTTTGTTGCCCAGCCACCTAGTTTTGTGAGATCCTTTTGCAGCTCTTCACAATCTGCTTTGAACTTAACTCTCTTGAGCCGCTTAGTATCATCTGCAAATTTTGCCACCTCACTGTTTACCCCTTTCTTCAGATAATTTATGAATATGTTGAATAAGACTGGTCCCAGTATGGACCCCGGGGGACACAACTAGTTACCTCTCTCTAGTCTGTAAAATAACCATTATTCCTCCCCTTGGTTTCCTATCTTTTAACCAGTTATCAGTCCTTGAGAGGCTCTTCTCTCTTGTCACATGACAGTTTATGAAACAGATAATTCAGACATTTAGTTGTTGGCATTAACTTAGCGTATCAAATCGCAGCCAAGAGGAGTCAGTGAGCATGACTGTCTTTGGATTTTGCAAGTCCTTATCTGAAGTAACACATGTAGGGGCCCTGTAATCAAACTCCCTGCTTGCCTCTGCATACCCATGCTGACCCCAGTCACCTTTTGCCAGCCTTGCCAAACACGAAGGGATATCTCTAGGCAGGCACACAGTACTTTCATAGTTTTACTACGGGTGTAAAATCCTATGTAATTGGTTAACTGGTTAAACAGGAAGTTTACTTCCTGTTTAACCAGTTAACCAATTAAGGAGGGACTGCTTCAGCCCAGCTGAGCTGGAGTGGTGCCTGCCTCCCAGTTGTGGCTGGCCTGGAGCGACCCACCATTGCAGGCACCATTGTCCCCCTGGGCCTGCCTGCAACATGCCAGGCCTGCCAGGGACAGCCCCCATCTGTGGTAGGCCCTATGCTGGAGCAGCCCCCTACTTGTGGTGGGAGGGGAGCTGTTTCAGCCCCCACTGGTTAACCAGAACTGGTAGGCATCACACCTTAATGGGGTTAAGGCTAATCAGTTAACCTTTCACATCCCTAATTTTTATGTTTGCTTTGTTATTGAAGGATGGGAATTAATATTGTGGCAGCCTTCACCTGCTTGTGAGTGTCTCTGATTACCTTTTAGCCTCTGCATGCACAGTATTAGATGGTGTTAGAGAAAGATGACATTGAAAGGAAAATAAAATAAAGAGCTAGATGAAAGAATGACTGGAGATGGAAATGTGTTCTGAGGTTTATGAACGTGTGCCTTACACAGACAATCAGTGAGATGGATTTAAGGCAGTTACTTGACTACCTTTACCTTGTAACTCTACAAACAAAGCTGAAAGCATGAAGGGTCCAGTCCTAATCACCTTTGTCAGAAAAAACTCTTCAATTTGCATGAATAAGGTAAGCTGGAGTAGGCCGTTAATACAGGCTTTGTACGTGCCCAAGAAAATCTAGCAGCGGGGCATGTATTGACAGTGTCTGACTATCTATTTGCATGATGTAGTTTCATGTCCTAAGGCAATCAATCTGTCTTCCTAGATTTCCCAAGTAGAAAGCAGAATTTTGACAAAGGAGACAGACGTGTTTGTTGTATTTATTTTGAACACTGGTCCATTCACATGACTGCAGATATAGTGTTTATGCACAAAAATAATCTATTAATTCTGTTTCTGCTGAAAACATCCTAAAAGGGTCTATTTGTCTAATGATGAGATGGAAAAGTGAAGCAAACAATAAGATCCTATTACTTTTAATTAGCATATGGATAATCTATGAATCTTCATTGTCATATAGTTGAAAAATACAGATGATCCCAAACCCTAGATTCAGATCTTGGATTCAAATCTGAATTTTGCAGCTTCAGTTGCAAATGTAGGGCTAGATTCTCCACTGTGTAAATGGATGAAATTCTACTGAAGTTGTGCTCAGGCCCTATCAGAGGGAAGGCCAGGAGAGCCATTTGGCCCGGGCCTCAGGAGACAAAGGGGCCTCAAATTTTGACATTTTTCTACCAAGCCATTTCCATTTATTATACATCTTGCAGTTATAACAGAGACAACAAAAGAAGCTAGCAAAAATTGATTTAAATCATTGAGAGACCTCAGGCCTTCACCAATTTTTCAGTTACATCTGAGTTTTCACCTGCCTGACTGGAGTAGCTTCTGTGATTAGTGATTCTGTGTTATGAAACACTGTTTACAGTCTTTGCATAGTTTAGAGGTTTTGAAAGTCGTAATTAATTCTGTTACTGTAAAGTGATTTTGCTTGATCTGAGGGTGAGTTTAACCTTTGAATTAGATGTTTATTGCTGCATAGGAGATTTTCATATTCCTGTTTTCTCTTATGTGCCTTTGTATGCAATAACCATATCAGGCTCAGCTATAAGCTACCTCTTTGCCCAGTTTTAGATTTGCCTTTGAAGGCTTTTTTGTGATAATGAACTTTTAATTCTAGTTGTTTAATAAACTTTATATCTAATATGGCAATTGCCCTATGTTCATATTCATAATAATGCACCGGTTATTAGATTAATTTAATAACAGGTGTGTATTAGACAAAATTAGCATGTTCAAGTACACACTGCCTTGTCTATGCCAGACTTCTAGAATGTGTTATTTGGCATGTGTTAGCTAAGAATACACCTTGTATTCTAATGTATACAAGGCCCCGGTCTAAACTCCTGAATATGGCACTCTGAGATGCCATGTTCTGTGAATGTGTGGTGCTTGCCTCTGGCCTTGTTTACTCCAGTATGAAATTTGCTAAAAAGTGCTATTGGGCTACAGGTTGGATCTCCCTGGTCTGGCACCCTCGGCACTTACATGGTTCCGATCAAGGAATTTGCTGGACCAGGGAGGTCAGACCTCCGGCTCCTCTTCTGGATGCCAGCTTTCAGCCAGTGAACTGTTCCAGGCCTGTCTACCAGGCTCCACTGCCCCTAGTTTTCTGGTGAGACACCACTCTAGACTGCCATCCTCGATCTGGCTGGTGGGGCTCCCTGCCACTGGGCTACTTGCCCTGCTCTGGCTTCTAGCCTACTGGCTAGAAGTTTGGTTCTAATATCAAATTGGGTGCTCTAGTTGACCATTTTCAGGGCTGCCCTCGTACGTGGATTATTTTCTTCAGATCTCTTCTCCTGGCCTCTTTAGGGGGCATTTTGCTGCTCTAGAATAGAGCAGTAGGACACAGCTGCCTCTCCAAGAGCAACCTCATCATGTTGCTTTCAAATTATCAGCACTTAGAGAGGTCTGGGAGATATAGCCGGGTTCAACCAGCAAATAAATGTGTATTTACTGCTCTGGTTCTTCCTGTTCCTCCTTTCCCATTTAATGTGCGTTTGGGCTTTGGTCATTGCCCTCCCCCCACCTCCACCATAGCCCACAAAATGAGTGGTGTATTGACTCATAGTTTAAATATTTAAGAAATCTATTTTGATAAAATGGTGGAAGTATTATATACACTTGGATGGAATGCTGAGTATTCTGTTCACTAGCAAAAATGATTTAGAGCTAATTCCAATAATGGTATCATCCCCGGTTCTTATCTGGCCTATTTGGTCATGACTGAAAGTGGGTTTGTTACTTTAATCAGCACATGGAAGGTAAATCAGAGGGAATTAATCTGCAAAATGCCACAGTCTGCCTCTGTTGCGATTCTTCACAAGGCAAGTTGCAAATAATTTTAGACTCAGATTGAAAAGACTCTTGCATCTACTTTTTCAAATCTGTGATAGCAATGAGGCGCTAGGACATGTAGCGTGGTAGTGAAACAGGTTTCATTTCTGACGGGCTATCTCCAGTACCTGCATGGGAAGAAGCCTAAATGAAGGGCAGGTTGTGTCCCAGCCTCAGAGTACCAACCATGCAGAGCCGTAGTCCTGCTCTTACACATGCTGATACTAGTGCTCCCTGTCCCTTGGCTGGAGTGTGGGTGACACATAAAGGTGGGAATGAATGCTGGATTCTGTCCCCCACAGCAGATGGTCCAGGATGGGGGCGCAGTTTTGGTTCCATCCTCCTCCCCACCCCATGTTCGGACTAGCGGAGCTGGCAGAGCTGGCAGGGTGTGTAGTGAAGTAATGTGTACCTGGCAAAGGGATGGCACTAATTGGTTCTCCCAGAAACAATGAGTCATAATTCCATTCCAAATATTTGCCTGTGGAGAGGTGGCTGCTCCTTACACAGAATCCTAGAAACATGGACTAGAAGGGGCCTCGAGAGGCCAGCTGAGCCATCCCCCCATGACGAGGAAGGATTAAATACATCCCGACTTGACAAGTGTTTGTCTAGCCTGTACTTACAAACCTGAAATGATGGCAGTTCCGCAGGCTGAGTTTGTTGCTTTCAATCTAATAGATGCTTGTCTGTGAAGGTGAAGTGCCAGACAACCGACAAGTCTCTGGCCAAGAGAAACCTACGGCACAGAATGAGAGGAGTGTTTTCAGGTTTTGATTAAAGTGTGTTGAAAGAAATATGTGTAAAGTCTGTAGAGTGCCCACCCATGATTTTAGAAAGAGTCGCTAGGCTTTCTCGTTTATGAGCACCAAAAGCTGCACTGGATTTTTTTGCTGTGGTGAAAGGCAGCCTTGCAGGAATCAATTGCTTTTCTTGTTGACAAAACTGCCACACAATCTGACATAAAAGCATATGAGGTGCTGCCCAAAATAAAATATTATGGGCTTGGAAAAATCATGGCATTCTAGTGCCTCTACTCCTTTTTCTCCCTTGTCTGGTGTGCTAAGTTGTCTTCTTAGGAAGCCTCAGAGTGCCTCAGGCAGGCCCCCAAAATGCCCACCAGTATCCTCTCGAGATCATAGGTGCAGTGCAGCTTACTGCAGTTTGAACTCACTGGCTTAGGCTTTCCCTCTCGATACATAAGATGTTTGTTTTCTTTGGATCTGAGCCTGGGATGTTGCAAGGGGTATCAGTTCCCCTCGCTTGCAGATGAAGTTTCTTGTCGAGGCAAACACATACATTTCCTACTCTCCACTGGAGGCTAATCAGTAAAATATTTACAAAGCAAAATCAGGGACGGTAGCCCAGCCATAGCTCTCACCACAGTTGACACAGCTTCATTTGTGTTTCCATTGCCCTTATTGTGTTTCTCATTGAGTAATAAGTAACACGTCTTCACTTCTTTTGCTGTGTTTACCAGCAAAAAAAATGTCAGTAAATTTGGGGAACTGAAAAACCTTCTGGGTATCTAGTTTGGAGGTAGCAGCAGCAGATAATTACATACTATATGTCCAATAATCTAGTAATTTTACTCTTTACAATCTTTGTGGCACAACAGAGGGTTGTTTAAAAATACAGATATTTATACTCTATATTTTCCACTAGGATATATTTTGAAGTATTTTGAAGAAAATGATAAGCCTAAGATACTTGACCATCTCCTTTACACTGTGTCAAAGCTCCAACCGTGCCCCATGGTCCTTTGCTTCTAGGTGGTTATTGTGTCTATTGAGGCTCACTATGACCCTTCACATTGCCTCTTGCCTTTTCTAGAGGCCAGGGACACATCTTACTGAGCCATCCATATCATTGGCAAAGTCAAAGGTGAATCCCCTCTGTAATCTTGGCCTCCCTTTCCAGGAGCAGACTTTTTAGTGGTGTGGAGAGGGTTGGGGGGAATCCGGGCCCACCCACTACTCCAGGTTCTAGCCCAGGGACTGTAGCGGTAACTGACAGGGTTTTTCCTCTAGGCCCAATACAGCAGCTTTTTCCCTGGGCCATTTCCCCAAACGCTCCCCTAGTACATTCTCCCTGGTACCTGAGCAAATCTTTCCTGTTTCAGCACAAACTTCCCTCTTTGCAGTCCTCAGCTCTCCAGCCACACACTTTCTCCTCTCTGTCCTTCCCTCTTCTTTACGTCAGGAGAAAACTTTAAAAGTAGCCCAGAAGGCCTTAATTGGCTGCAGTTGCCTGATTAGCCTGCTATTTCAGGTAAGCTCTTAATTAGCCTCAGGTGCCTGCCTGCTTGATTATGTGCAGCAGTCTCTGGCAGTTTATTTAGGAAATAGAAAACTATTTACCCAGCTCCCGGTATGTCTGCCCTCTACCAGACTATTGTAGCCAGATGCCCCAGGTCTGTCACAACATGTAATTTCCCCCCTTTGCCTTGTGTGCTGGACAACTGGTTTCAGAGCAAGGACCCTCATTCCATGCCCTTTGGGACCTTAGTATCAGCATATGCCTTACACTAGGCAGAAAAGCTCATTGGAATATACTGAGACCCTGCTTCAGGCACTATCTTTGGCAGCCTCAACTCCTTCCTATTGTGCAGGCCTCCGTAGCTGTTCTGGTTTGGGTTGGTAGCTGGCAATGATCCTCAATTTCCCCTGGGACTGTAGGAGACAGTGGCAGTTAATTGGGGGAATCTGTGATGCCTTCAGCATATCTTTTTTACCTTCATAACGGCAATGCCTACTAATAGTCAGGTGAAAATCAGGGCTTCTGGCTGATCTGCTGCCCTCCATCTTTGTTGCTTTCCCTCCATTATCATCACCAACATGTGTCTTGTTCCAGTTTGGAAGCTGCTAGAACTTTGCTTTGGAAGCACAGCATTGTTGAAGCCATAAAACCCAGAATCTTTGCACATGGTGAAGGACCAGTAATTCTGCAGGGTTTTTTTTTACCCTCAGAGACAGGGTGGCAACTGAACAACAGGGTGCTTTTTGGTCTTAGAAGTCTGTCTAAGGTCTCACAAATCTTAGTTCAAAGGCCACAAACCAGAATTAGAACCAGCCCTTATTAGTTTTTAATTTGTTTGTGTGAAAATATGCATTGATAAATATTCTTTAAAATTCCCTTTCCAGTGTTGTGTGTTTGGAACTCAGAAGTGAATAGCTTTAGAAAAGAAAACAAAATGCTCTTAATTCTGCTAAGGCCAGGAATTTTGCTAGCATGCTTTGTAGATATTCTACTTGTAACGTGACTACTTGATTCCTTCTTTTAAATTGCATTTTGAAGTGATACTTACAAATATGGATTCACAGTGCTTGCAGAAACATTCATGTGGAACTGGATGCTTTAATTTGCACATACAGTTACCACAATCATGCCTACAAATCACATGTTTGTACACACACAGTCAACATTCACTCTCCTATAGAGAACCAGCTCAAGGCTTATGCACTACAGTCCCACTTAAGCTCCATTTTTGATACAGAGTTCTGTGTTATCCCATTGCATAGGAAAGAACTTCACTCATTAAAGAACAGTTAGGTGCATTGTCCACATGTGGGCAGTTTGTTTGTACCCTCCTTTACTCATAACTTTTGTATTAATTTTATAGTAAAATATTTTTTTGTTTTTGTTTTTGTTTAGTGTGGTGCTTTTGGCCTCTGCTTCCCATCCAGCAGGTAAAGTGATTAGATAATGTGTTAACATTTATTTTTAGGGCCCTGGTTAGATTTTATTTTTTCAGTGCATGCAGTCTATAAACAGACTCTGCAACATGGAGTTACCCTGGTGCAAAACCAACAAGAAAGCCACATGGAGTTGCTTGTGCAAAGACCATGACAAAATAAGCATAGCAAACTTGTCTCAGGTCTTCCCTTGAGAACAAGAGCTACCAGTCAGCGTGGACGCCAGGTTTCCTTCCTTATGCTTTTCTCAATGCCAAACAGAGGTTTCACTCTGCTGTTTGCACACGGAGTAAGAGGATCTCTTTGTTCACTATTCACTTCTCCCATCCATCATAGCCAATGGTAGGATTTAGCAGAGTTGTTGAGTCGAGTCCCATGACTTGAACTCGAGTCCGACTTAAGTTGCCTAAGTGACTCGACTTGAGACTCGACTCGGGTTCATTGTTTGTGACTTGAGACTCGACTTGATACTTGCTAATTTTGTTAAATAGACTTGGTGAAAAAATTGTCTGAAAATGCCGATATTGATGGCTTGTACAAAAGTGACTTGACATTTTTTAAATTAAGACTTAAGATTCGACTTGGGACTTGACTCGATAGTGACTTTAGGGACCCGAGACTCGACTTGAGACTTGAACTGTAGTGACTTGAGACTCTACTTGGACTTCACAATGACGACTTGAAGACAACACTGGGATTTAGTTAATCACTGTGCAGAAAAAGTCAATGATAAGTAATTATTCAGGTGAGGTGAGGTATGTTAGAACAGGCAATGTAGAAACAGCCATTCTGGGTCAGACCAAAGATCCATCTAGCCCGGTATTCTGCCTTCTGATTCTGGCCAATAGCAGGTGCCCCAGAGGGAATGAACAGAACAGGTCATCATCAAGTGATCCCACCCCTGTTGCCCATTCCCAGCTTTTGTCCAATCTATGCCCTAGTCAAAGCAGTGATGGTGAAACCTGCCCATATTTCTTTATATGGAAGAGTCAACCAGCTAGAAAGACAAAGAAAAAAGCATGTAGGAAATGAACAGGTACCAATCTTCAGCTAGTGGGAGCTTTATAAAGCCACTGTGTCCTCCCATCAGGAATTACGAATGAGAAATGCCCAGTGAAACAGGCACACATTTTAAAAACTCACAGGGAAACACTTTGAGAACTTACAGAGCTTGGAAGTGAGAGAACTCCAGACACTAGGCACTCCTGAAAGCTCTCTGGGCCAGGCTTCCTGGAAATACAAATATTCATCAGCCCACTATGCTCATATTTGGAAGGACATTTTTAAACCTCCTGACTTGCTGTTTGTGACAGAGTTCAAATTCCAGAGAGGGAAGCAGCCAATACATGTAAATGTTTCCTGTTGCACAGCATGGAACTAGAAGAATTAACTGACTTCAGTGGAAACAAATTTACCCCTGGGGGCACTCCAGTAAAACTAGAAAATATGGTGCATGTCTGGTCATTGCAAACTGCAGTGTCAACACAATCATTCATGTGCCATTACAAACATATTAGCCAAGAATACTTTTACATATTTTACAACCCCTTTCCCCTTTTTGAACAAAAGGCAGGAACCCGCTAGAACTGAGAGAGTCAGGAATGAATCATTAAAAACATTTGAAATGTGGAAATCTTGGTAATTTAAAGAGTCAGGCAGCTGTAAAGGAATGTTAAATGAACACTGTAATGGCTGTTTAATTGCTGTTCCCCAGTTGTTTGTAGCTATGGGTATTTTTGCCAATTTTCCACTGAGCATGTTAGTTTCTTCCTCAGGTGACCTCTTCAGTGCCTTGGACTTTCCATTTCTCTACTTCTACCGATTTCACAGTAGCTGCTGTGCCAGGTAACTTCTCCATACTCAGGGGTGTGAATAGTGTTAGAAGAACTGGTTCTGTCAGCTTCCGACCTTGACTCTCAGTTAAACACTAGTAAAACCTTGGTTGGATACAACAGTCTGTTTTGGCAAAAGCCAGTAAAGCTGCAGAGTAGTGACTTCCTGTGGAATGCAACCAAGGGCCTGAGATTCAAATTTGTCAGGGGTTGTTTCATCTGAGGGAGAGAGGGTATGGGTATGTGCAGTGTGGTCGTGAGGGTTCCCAGCTGCCAATAAAATAGTTTTACTTACCTCAGCAAAGCTTTGATAGAAAGCATAGAATTGCAGGACTGGAAACCACCTACAGATGTCCTATAGTCCAGTGCCCTGCACTCATGGCAGGACTTTTATTTTAGTATCTCTCAAACACTTCCCAAATTGGATTAGGCTTTGTAAAACTGGCTGTTTTCAGTGATTACAAGGTATTAGACTTAAGTGCTATATTGGTATGTATGGATTTATTCATCTGTACATCTTGTTACTTGGCAGGATGGGTTAGTCCTATAAAACAGGAAGGCTGCAACAAGAGTCATTCTGAGTAGCAACAGTTCACAGCCTATTAATGTTATTCTGTGATAATTATGTTATTTGTTCTATATCTCTTTACCCTACTGAAATTTGGACTCTTCTTTTAAATTTCTTCTCTTTATGCACTAGACTATTGTTTTTTAAGCTGAATTTCAACTTCTATGCTAAATGGTTCAAAAGTTGTGGTAATTCTTGGGACTTTTCTAATTTTCTTTACTTGAGCTTATTAAAAGGGTTGACGTAATGTAAAAAATGATCATGGTCCAGAAGCTACAATTTATTTTCATCAGGGCAGAATTCTCTCTTCTAGACTAAATGCTCCAGTGTGGATCCTCTGTTCTGGAATAAAAGTGACTGTATTGCAGAATAATTACTTCTCTTGTGAGTGAAGAAATTATTTTGTAATCAAGTCACTTTTATTCCAGAATAGTGTCCATGTCGAGGAGTTATTGCACAATAGCTATGTGATCACTCCTTCACTAGACAAGAGCCAGCTTCAGACTCCAGAGAATGCAACTAGACAAGAGACTCTCGCGCTCAATAAGGCTTAGTCATGGGCAGTAGGTGGGTGAACTCCACCACCAGCCCCCCCCCACCTACTTGAACCCAGACTCACTGTGGCTGCTGCCCCTCACACCCCATGGCCTCTAGCTCCTGCCCCAGGCTACTAACTTTAGCACCTTCCCCTCACAGCCTCAGCTCTCTTCCCTGGCCATGGAGAGTGAGCCAGCCAGGCAGCATGGCCCCAGGCTCCCCTGATCCTACAGCACCAGAGAACCAGGTGGCATTGCCCCAACCTCCCTGGGCCACCCTGCCCAATCTGACTCCAAGCTGGCACATTCCCGTCCACCCCCACCAAGCCACCAGCCCCAGTGCTGGGCAGGCAGAATGGCCCCAGCACCAGGATGATGGGGGGGCATTGGTTGTGCAGCTCCCAACCTGTCTGCCGCGGAGGCCTGGAGGTGGAGCCTGGATACATCATGCATCTGGGAAGGCAGAGCTTTCCCAGGCCTATGATATATACCACCCATACTGGGGCCTCAGTTTTTGTCACCAGGCTTCTAAGTTGTTCACTGCCTATTCTACCACCCTCATGTGTGTTAAGTAGTACTTTACATCCGTGTTTCCCAAAAGGTGAGGCGTGTACTACAGTGGAGGCAGAAAGGAGTAGCTGGGGGGCGTAAGGGCAGATCTCCAGTTGCTCTCCAGCATCTCACTTTCCTTTTTTTACGTTAGTCTCTAGCTGTTATGGTTCTGAAGAAAGCCTCCATAAATGTGAAGCAAGGGTAACCAATGCAGCAATGTCAACCTGAGTGTGCAGAGTGCCTGAAGCAATAGTGCTCAGCTGTAAACTGCCCCATTTATTTCAAGGGCTGCTCAGTAAGATGCCAATGATGAAACTTCAGATGTCACCATTGTTAACTATTTCACTGCTCCTCAAGGAGCTACACCAGCCTTTAAAAAAGTGTGTGTGTTTGAGGAGGGGTGAGGAAGGACTTGCCCAGGACTCTAAAAGATGCATAATACAAGTAAGCTGCATAGTCTTTACAAATACCCAGGCTGTATTCATCTGAAAGCAGATGAGTTTGGACTGCACTGTAGGTAAAAGAACTTACGTAAGTGAACAAAGAGCAATGAGAACTAGTTGTTAAAACTGATGTCTTAGAAAGCATGGAGGGTATTAAATAGCACAGTAAGACACACTCAACCTTGGCCTAAAAAGAACAACATCAGCAAAACCCTACTGGGCATTTTATCTATCTCAGGACTTGGTTTTAATGAGAGTCTTAAGAAGAAATGTTCCCGTGTTCTCACTGCCTCCATTTGTGGGTGCACAGGAGTGTTTCTGACATACAGTTACAAGCTTTCAGCATAGAGGAGCAGGGCTCAGACATTTCCAGCCATGCACGCTCTGCCCTTTCCAGAAACAGAACCTGTCTGTGCCCCGTACTGCACAGCCCTGGCTTCCTCAGCAGCAGAACTTGAGCCGAAGGCAGATCTGGGGGCCGAACTTGAACTGGGGTTGGGGGCAGAGAGGGAACAAGGGCAGAGTTGGGCTGGGACCAGTGCAGGGGGCAGTAGAGGTAACCACCTCGCTGTGGTTACTGTGTATGTGTGTGGGGGGGGGGGTCAGATGTCCTCCTCAGCCCCCCTGATTTCTCAGGATGCTGCTGGAGCAGGGGTCTAGCAGTGAGGAGGCAGCATTTGCCTTGTCTTCTGCACAGTGCTCATGATAAGAGCCAGAAGGCTGGGATCCATATTTTCTCGCCACAATTGCTTGAATTGGTGTGAAAGCCAGAAACCCCAGGGACATCTGGGAAGAAAAGAGATGGCTAACGGGACGTTTTTCACATTCCCAGCGTGCCTAGTGCTATGTTGCACATTCCCAAAGTCCTTAGAGGGTGAAGGTGATGCAAGGCACTATGGGATACATTCCCATAATGCTTTGCTCTTTGTCAACAAGGGTATGTTTACATTGCATTCCTCCATCAAGAGAGGAATGTAAATGCAGACAAACAAAATTGCAAATAAAGCGCGGATTTGAATTTCCTGTGCTTCGTTTGCAAAATCGCATCCAGCTACTTTTCCGAAATACCGTATTTCAAGGAAAAAAAGGGGTTATTTAAAAAAGAAACCCTTCCTTCAAAACAACCTTTACTCCTTAAAAAATTAGGTTTAAGGGTTATTTTGAGGGAAGGGTTTCTTTTCGAAATAACCCAGTGTGGACTGAGTTTTTTTTCTCAAAATATGGTATTTTGGAAATGTGGCGGGCCGCACTTATGCAAATGAAGCACGTGAAATTCAAATCCGTGCTTCATTTGCAATTTTGTTTGTCTGCATTTGCATTCCTCTCTTGATGTAGGAATGCAGTGTAGACATACCCCAAGGGAGCTGCAGATGTAGCCATGAGTTGTCAACAGCAGATACCAGAAAAAGCAGTTTGACGTGTTTCCAGTTTTGGAGACTTCTGCCTGTTGACAACACTTTTGTTGCCAAAACTTGCAAGTGTAGACACAGCTTTCCGGTGTCCGGGCAACTTGGGGAGGAATGAAGTGGCCAGGGTCTACATCACCCTGTGGGTCTACATCACTTTCCTTATTGCTGGGATCCCACTGCTTGCCTCTGGCCCACCCCCACTCACCTCAGGGCTATGGTCTGCAAAGCGGGCAGCAGCACCGGCACTCCAGCAGCAAGTAGGCAAAACAGTCCCATTTGACCATGGAGGAGCCTAGCAAGCAGCCAGCATCTTGCTGCTTCCTCCCTTCCCGGGCTGTAGGAACACAGGGAGAAGGCCGCCTTCTCACTGCTGGATATCCCTGCCTAATGTGCCCTGAGAAATGTGGGGGAAATGTGGCCCCTCATGCCCTCTGCAGCTGCAGTCAGAGCTGGGCCTGGAGGTGGAGCTGGACTGCGGGCGGAGTAGCCCTACCATGCATCCCCCTGAGTGATCCTCTGCACTTCCTATAAGGTTACCTCCACACATTGAGACCCGCTGGCATGGAGTATTACCGTAGGTACTTAGCACTGTCCTTTTCCCTTCCTATTTGTTTTAACACCATATCAAATATGCTAATTGCAGGTCACACTTCTTGATATCACTAACTCCAGCTATCGCTTCAGTGTTTTGTGGTTATGTTTCAGTGGAATAAGGTTGTGTTAACTCCTTCCTCTGTGTGATGTAAATACTGTAACTGCACACCCTCTGTGACTGAGGGTGTGCACCCTTTGTGGCTTGGCCCTCCCTCCATCCAGATCACTGTGTTCTCCCCTGCCCCCATCCATCTGAAGTATTAAAGTTTGTCCATAAACTGTCTCTGACAGACTTCTCCTTTACTGTCTAGATAGTGTTGCTTCCCACATGGCTGGTATGAGTATCCAGGCTTGCCCTTTTTTCTGGATGTCAGCCCAGGGACTCTTTAATCAAGGTCTTCACAGTCAAACATTGCTGTCCTTTTCTTACAGCTTCTCTTCTATGTTTCCTTCCTCGCTACCTGATGTCCAAAGTATGTTTCATGGTCCTTGATGCAGCCGTTTTCTATTGCCAGCTTCCTGGCTTTATACAAGCCTTGCCTGTCCTGTCTCAGCCTTTCCTGTCCTGTCTCCAGCATCATTCAGGAGATTACTTAGGCCACCTAATTCCCTTCAGCTGCGACCTTTCTGGTTAGTTGGCCCCTTCTCAGCCTTATTCACCCCAGGTAGGGGTGAACAACTCCTCTCACTCGCCTGTGCTGTTAGTGATGATGTCCTATAACTCTGTATGCCCCCATTTCCATTGCAATAGCCAGGCTGCTATTTGGCTTGTAAGCGTTTCTGAAGCAGTTAGTTGAATCCCTTCTTTTCTCCATCCCTTGTTAACCCTAGATGGCTTTGTGAACTCACTTAATCTTTTAGCTGAGAACATCAAGACATCTTATTACCCCTACACTACAGGTTTATTCGTTTATTCTTTACCACCCACCCCACATTGAAGATAAAAATTAAAAGTCAAATGTGTGTCTTTAGGAAGGTTAAGCAACATGGCAATATCAGAAACTGAAATTTTCCAGTGATTGCTTCAGCTCAAGAGATAAAAGAAGTTGAAATGAGTGAGAATATGGGCCACATATTTACATATGGCTTCCATTGAAATCTTAAATGATTTGAATGAAACTTCATGTTTTAGTTACCTGTACTTTCCTAGAGTGCACTGGTTTTGCTAGTATATTTTGGCACTTGTTAAAGACCAAGCATGAGGTCATCAGTTGTTCTTATTTATTGTACATATTTAACTGGAAAAAACCAGGGTGTCTTAGTCATAAAATAAGTTCATAATCTACTAAATAATCAATTCCAGTTCTTGAACAACACTGCTTTTTTTGGGGGGGGGGGGGGTGTTTGGTTTTGTAATAAGAATACCAATAAACCTGTAAGATTCTAGTTAATAGAAGCTGAGAGAATTCTCTTTATTCATTTAAGCTTTTTCATCTCCTTACAGTGGACTGTTGGGATTCTTTCTGATGCTCCACACAGTGAAGCTAAAAAGCATCACATCATCATGGCAATATGCAGCCTGGAGTTTCCTTGCAAAGGTAAGAGAGATCCTCAGCTGAACTTGGATGATCTCTATCTCCAGTGGATAAACTGTGAGTTAGTTGAGCCTCCATACCCCTGTTCTTTCTCCCTCTGTTCTAATTAGACATCATGTGAAGTATTTAATGCCATACACATAGCAGATGTAAATACATTAAACTACATTAGTCTGCTATGTAATGCCATACACATAGCAGAGTTGAGGCAGCCCATATCAGTTGCCAGTGGGTACCCCAAAATAATAGGCCATACCAGTTGAGACTCTGACCTACTGGCTCCAAGCAGTTAAATACTTTCAGGGATGGCGTGGATGGCATTTCTTTCCAGTTCCTGCTGTTGAGAGTAATGGTGGTGTCTGCCAGTAATTGTTTCTCGTTGCCTCTTCCTTCCTAGAAGCATTGGTTTTCAGAGTACAGAGCCAAAACCTAGGCCCATAGAAGCCAATGTCTCCACTCCCTTTGGCTTCTGTAAGGGCAGAATTTGAAATGGGTGATACTCTTAAACTATCCACAGTTTAAAAATTCAGACGCGCTGGTTTGATTCCCATTTCCTAATTTCATTTTACCCAGTTTAATTATTGCCATGTGTGATACCCTGAAGCCATAACTCCCCTGGACAGTTTGTTCTCTCGTTGTTCATGCTAAAATGAATGAAGCTGCTTTTTAATAGTGTTGTGAAACACATTTATTTACAAGTTGTAGTAAAATGACTCCTCATCTTTGTTCTATTGGCTGTGGGAAAGAAGTGTCACTTGCTTTATACTAAAGTATTTCTGAAGTCTGTCTCAGTAAAACTCTGCCAGTCCCTTGGCATTTTTTGTGGGTTTGAGTTTCTCTTAGGAGCTCCTGAAAGAATCTGGCTAAGAAGCTTTTAGTACCTTAATCTTCTTGTTGTTCTTTGGTAACAAGTCAGTTGATTTACTCTGGAGAGGTACTAATCCTAACAGCAGATATTGTGTATAAGGAGAAGAGGTTCTATGTGCAGCGTTCATGAAGTAGCAAAAGGCAGGAGGATGAGAAGTAATGGGAGATACTACAAAGCAGACTTGGGCCTTTCCCAGCTGAAATGGGTCAGAATGGCAAAGTTTGTATCTGGATCAAAGCTTCAGAGATATTTACATTTGGGGGTTTTGGTCAGAGTCAGCTCTAGAGGGAACTATCACAAAATGTAGTTATGCATTGATGTTAATGGAGTTTCACCAGCTTACACTAGCTAAAGATATACCCCTAAACTTTCATGGTCATTTAACATCTGTTTTCTTGTAATCAGCCCATAAAGGCTAGGTTTGTTTGCACTGAAGTCCTTTTATCCAAAGTAAAATGATTTAACAGAGAAAATTAATTTTCCTCCCTTTTTGTAAGCTTTCTTGCAATTTCCACACAATTGCTCAATAGTCATTTTTATATCTTGTCTTGAGTATAAAGGGAACACAAGTACCAGGGACATGAGGTATCTCTAGCTCCAGTTAATAATGATACATCTGGTACTTTGCATTTCTGTAGTGCCTTTCATCCAAGAGTCTCAAAGTACATTATAAGCATTGTATTTTGCCACATATTACCCTTCTTAATATGTAAGGAATACATACAAATCACTGCATCTATTGCTGAACTGCAGCCACATTCAGGGTGCAACTCTGCAGCTGATTTCCAAAATACCTGAATATTACCCAACAGCTTTGGGAGTGGAAGCAGAAAGGACTAATTTCTACTAATAGAGGGAGTAAGGGTTCAGATGGACAGAATATCATTTCTTGAACTGGAATTTGGCCAGAACTGTGGAAATAACATGCCAAGTCTTATAAAATTGTCATGGGATATATTATGACCCCAAGTGCTCAGGACTCTGGTTTTATGTTTCCTCTGAAGGATGGCTGTTATTGCATCATATTGCCATTCAACACTATGCAGGACGTTGATTGAACTATCAACTCATTTGGAAAAAAGAGACCTATTGAATCACCCACACCAGAAGCTGTGGCGGCTAGGTGTCCTTTGAAGGTCTCCCAACCTTAAAAAGGCTGGTAGGACTAGATACCATAGCAGCAGATTCAGGTTAACCTCAGTAAAATGTATTTTAGCTACACTTTTAGTAGTCTCTTTTAAAAACGACAGAGAAAAGGGGAAGGAGTCAGTGTATATAGGAAATAATAAAGAGTTAGAAATGATTTTTTAACTAGACACATAAAATGAGAAAGAGGTGGTCAGGGATGTAAGTTGCCCTGCCCCCACTCTTGGATTTCAGCAGCAACAGTACATTTCCACCTAAGCATTTTTCTTGGACTGAGTTGTGCCCCAAATCATCCTCTTAAACTCTCAGACTGACTGGAGTTTTCACCGGCAGTTGGAAAGAAGCAGCAGTTGAGGCCAGAATGTGTTTATCTTGAGAATTAGCTCAGAAAAGGGAGTGCTGTTGTCCTCAGATAGCAGCGCTGGCCTTGAGGGAAGTTCAGAGAATCAAGAATCAATTTGCCATCGCAATGCTTGTACCTTTGGGTATGTCTACACTAGCCCCCTAGTTCGAACTAGGGAGGCTATGGTAGGCATTAGAAGTTGCAAATCAAGCCTGGGATTTAAATATCCCGCGCTTGCTTCGCATCTTCCCGGCCGGTTGCCTTTTTTTTTTTTTTAATTTACAAGTCCGGACTAACTGCCCGTGTCTACACGCGGCAGGGACCCGGTATTTTGAATTAAAGCCCTAAATCGAACTACCTGTTATTCTTCCTGCAAGGAGGTTTAACAGGTAGTTCGATTTAGGGGCCTTAATTCGAAATACCGGGTCCCTGCTGCGTGTAGACATGGGAAGTTAGTCTGGACTTGTAAATTTAAAAAAAAAAAAAAAAGGCAACCGGCTGGGAAGATGCAAATCAAGTGTGGGATATTTAAATTCCGGGCTTGATTTGCAACTTCGAATGCCTACCTTAGCCTCCCTAGTTCGAACTAAGGGGCTAGCGTAGACATACCCTATGAGACTGGTGAACTGATGTTATGATAGTGGACATACTTCATTTCTTATAAAGCACTGATGCACCAACCTACCATCAGTAATACCTGTAGAGTCCTGCTTTACAGATACACAAACATTCTTTATGGATCTACATAGCTGGTCTCCTTTTCCATTGATTTTCATTCGGTTAAAAATGGACTAGAGGAGTAACTTGTTTTTTTTTAATATACTTTGACTGCAGCAACTTAGGGTATGTCTAGACGGCATAGCTATTTTGGGATGCCGGAAGTATCCCAAAATAGCAATGCTGTGTCTTTAAAAGCCTCTATTTTAAAAGTCTCTATTTCCTGAAATAGCGGGTGCACTATTCCGGCATCCCTGTAACCCTCATTCCATGAGAGTTAAGGGATTTGTCGGAATAGAGCCTTATTCTGATATCTGGCTCTGTGTAGACACAGGAGGGTTTTCTGTCTCTTGTCTGAAACAACTGTTAGAGAGAGAGAAGGTTGTTGAGGTAATATATATTGTAGTGACTCAACTTCTGTTGGTGAGAGAGACAAGATTTGAGCTACACAAAGCTCTTCAGGGCTGGCCCAAAAGTCAATCTAATAAAATATATTCCCTCTCTTTCTCTCTCTCTCTCTCTCTCTCTATCCTGGGACCAATATGGCTACAACTACACTGTAATAATTGTTGGCAGTTCTGGTGCTGAAGCATTGATCTGAGCACCCCAGGATCAGACTGTGTATACACTCTGGTGCATGTTCATACTGATAAATGCATTCAACATATTGAGTGTGAAAACAAATACTGTGTGTATGTTAGTCCTATCTGTATAGACATGTGAGAAACACTGAGAGGTGTCCATAAAACAAAAACTACCTTTAAGATGTATAAAGATGTAATCCTTGTTCTCTGCCTTGAATTGGTATACTATTGCAAGACCAAGAATTAGAAGAAATGTTGAGACTGCATGTTTTAATTCGCAAGATATGTTAGTATCATAGGTCATATACTCGAATGACGCATCAGAGTCACTTGTATACACAAATTGAAACATCTGGTGAACACTCTAATGAGCTCTAATAGTGTTGTCAGTGAGGTTTATTTAGACTAGGGCTTCTACTCTGTACAGAGAGATTAAAGATGTTGGGGTCTCTAGGAATTAGAAGACAGCTGTAGTTTAAATCGCTGTGTTAGGAGAAATAGTGTCATGGCTTCTCAGTGCTGTATTTGATCAATGTGCTGAAGTTTATGGGAATGTAAGCATATGTCAGATTTTGTACAGCTATCCCATTAATATTTGGGTGTACTGTTGTATGTTTGGCCTGTATCCAGCAGGTCCCTGCTGAATTAATATATTACAAGGGGTAGAATGGGGAATAGATTTTGGTTGTTCCTTTTCTTTCTCCTTCCTCCCAAGGATAAAAAAATGAATGCAATCTAATTGAAGTTAAACTGCATTGGCTCTTTGGCTGGCTTCTTGTATTCTGACTATAAAGAGTTAGATATTTTAATTTGATTTAAAGATTGTAACTGCCTTCTCTCTGGTCTCCCCAGATCCCAACACTACAGGCTGTAGCATAGGCAGGTTGCTACCATTAGCCATTTTACACATAAAAGAAGCACAATCTATACCCCTGTCACCCGGTAGTTGCACTATCTCCTTATTCATTATGGCTGGATACATTTGCCTCAGGATACCTCATGCACCTTGTCTTTTTCTTGTGGCTATTACTGGGTGCCAGAAATGGCTTTAGTACTTTTGTGGAGACTTCTGGAACATTATCTTGCTCACCTCACCTCAAATATAACTGACTCCAGTCTGGTGTGAGCACAACACAATGCACAAAGTCAACATAAAGTGTTTGGAGAGTTAGTGAGTTGGTTCTTTAGGATGCACCCTAAAATGAATAATTTTTCTTTGTACATGTATGTCATTATGTCCTCATAGATGCCCGCTGAGGAAGTGTAGCACAGATTCATATTCTTTTGAGCTCTAGAAAATGGATTATATCTGTTTACATGTGAAGACTATCTATCATCAGGAAGG